GTTCGTAAAATCATATCTTGGGTTCATATGAGGGGTTAAACAGATATGTTTATTTACTGTAGAATTCTTTGTAATATAATTGTAATACAAATTATTTGTCCAGAATAACATTTGACACAAACATAAACGGGAACATAGAAGACAATACAAATGACTTGATCTCTTAACGTTTGTTACATAACTTCAGTTGACTGGCTACAACTTATAGACTGATCACATATAAAACTCATTATATGGGATCTATATTTCCCAATTAGTTTAATAAAAGTGCTGACTACAACTTTGTAGACTGATCATTATATGGGATCTATATTTCCCAATTAGTTTAATAAAAGTGCAAATAAATGTATTTCATTTTACTATATTTATTTTCAAACAATACTTCTCCCATGGTTAATCGAACCATTTGTACATCTGTATTGTTTCCATAACATTCTAAAACAGTTGACTACTTTCTTCGTCCAGTTTCGCCTGTTATCCCTAGGGAAGCATAGACTTGTCGACCAGCATTGTCAGACCTACTCTATCCAGTTCTATTCCAATTGCTGATCATTCTTCTCATGTCTGTCTCCATTTCTAGGAGTAATGTGTTTTTGTTAACCTACCTCTTTTCCTTTGAGCTTGAGGATTCCGGGCGAGGGTTTGTCTTGTGAAGTTAATTACTTTAGTTCACAAAAAAATTAAATAAAACTAACATTACAAACTGATTAATTCAAACATAAATAAAATTATTCAATGTACAATGGATATTTTAAACAAATATTATCAGTAATGTGATGAATAAACAATGTTATAAAATAAAAAAATCTATTATATTGTTACAATGCTGCTATTCAAATCCTACCGACGTCCGAATTCAAATATTCCAATACTACCCAAGTACTATTCTCAAATCTCCTATATATCAGAACGCAACACCGTTGGATGGAGTTGTCTGTTGGGTCGAGTTCAGAATAGAGGTAGGCAGGAAGGAACGGAATCGTGAAGTCTTACAGATAGTGCGTATTTATACATTTTGGTCGAATAGGAAAGAGTATCGAAGTCTGTGACATTGACAGTTTAGGTCGACCAATAGGAAAGAACATTTGAAATGACATTGGCAGCCCGGATGACCAATCAGAGACAACATTGAAGTATTTGACTTTGACAGTTAAAACGACCATAATTTTGACCAATAGAATTATACAACCGAAAATAGTACTCTTAGGATATTCGGTGAATACCCTAACATACATAATGATATAAATTACTTTTATTATTTTATTCAATGTTTATCCTCTCCTGAATATAATAGAGTTCATTAACTTTTTCTCATTGGTATCTCAAATGTTCATTCTATAATGCTGTAATATGCTGTTAATGATATGTGTTAATCGATTAAACTGCAGAAAAATTGTATTTATTAAACATATATATTCATATGTGTACTTAAGTGAAACACGAAAGTTTGTGATTAATTTGTAAACATAATGATAATGAGATAGTGGAGAGAATTTTTAGGTCAGATGGATGATTTGTGATGGAGTTTCATTCTCTGAGCTAGATGTTTTGTTTGTAGAGCTTTCATTGTTCTTCTGACTGACATCGTCAACACAAACCCCAGTTATAGACAACGACAGGTTTAAGGTCAGCGACAATCGATCCAGATCTAGGTCAACAGAATAAGTTACGCATCATACATGGAGAAATTCGGAGACTTCAATTCTACCTGAAGTTCGAGCTGTGGATGTTGTTAAGAAGAACAATGAAAACTCCACAACCAAAACACTCAACTCAGAGAACGAAACTCCACCACAATATAATGAATGATATTCGCAATCACGTTTTACAAACTCTAATGGTTGTGATTCGTGGATAAAATACAATTTTTTTTAATTTAAACAAAAGACTTAACAAATACTTTACAATAATTTTAAGTCATTTATTAAATTCATTACGGGGTTGTGAAGATTGTTAAGTTACACATTCTTGAAACCATGAATCGATCAATGTTAGACCACCATTAGAAACCTGGAAGGACTGCCAGGCGGCCGTTTCGTCCTGGTATGGGACTCCTCAGCAGTGTGCATCCACGACTCCTGGTGGTCTAACATTGATCGATTCATGGTTTCAAAAATTTGTAACTTAACAATCTTCACAACCCCGTAATGCAAATTACCTGTGCTCACTAGTGACTAGCTTCGTGAGGAATCTTCTCCGAGTTCTAGTGTGAAGACGTGACCAGTGAAGTTCAACTTGTTCGGGTGTAGACAGTAACTAATACCGAAGACTGTATATGAGGTTACGCAACTCCGTTAATTGATCAAGTTAGACATTAACACCATTAGATACCAGCTCAGTGGTCCGATGGTTAGGCGTTCACCTATAATATCGAAGTTCGTGGGTTGGAATCCTGCGGAGTGTAGGAGTCGTGGATGCACACTGCTGATGAGTCCCATACCAGGACGAAACGTCCGTTCAGTGCTTCGAGGTTTCTAATGGTGGTCTAAGATCGATCGATTCATTATTTCAAAAATTTATTAAATGCTCATACTTCTTAATTTATTCTTAATTGACACTGATGGTACAGTTCAATGAAATCTTTAATCCTTGCGAAAAAAAATCACTCCAATAACTTGTTAATTCCATTGATCTACTAGTTTATATAAAAAATGAAAGTTAATTGTTCAATCTCACTGTTGATATATTTTTGTCATCGATTTACAAAAAAAAACTCATTTGGGGGATGATATTCTTATTCATAGGATTTATAGAACAAGTTAAGTATTTTCTTTTTTTTCTTCCTAAGTATCATTTGCTTGATCGCCATTTCAAACAACTCATTGAATTCATGTTGGCATAAAATTTCGAAGTATAAGTTTCATAAAAGACAAATACAGAAATTATGACTGAAATTATTCATGTTCATAATTCATATTTCCTTCCAAATTTTCACATTCTTTTGTATTGATTTAGTCTAAACTTTGTTTCGCACAACGTGTAGTAAACATTTTATAGTAATTCTGTGTAAAATTCACTTCTTTATCCTCTTTATCTCAAATTCATATGATATTTATTCAGTAATCATCAAAATTTCAGTTAAACTTATATAAACAACTAAATGAACTGAGTCAATAAATGATTGTTTTGATATGAAAGATTAATGAAATCTGCTTATGTAATCATTTTAATCCTCTTCTTCGTATTGTTGTATAATTCTCATTGTGATTCAAGTTTCAGATATTCATTTCCCCATGTTCATAGTTATAAAAAAGCCTATACAATCCATTAAGGAAATTAAATATAACTTAAATTACAGCTTCAGTGATTGATAATTGACATTGAACGTTGTTTATACTGTCCCTTTTCTGATAGTCAAATAAAAGCTATCTTAAATAACTTATTTCCGAAAGAAATCCTAAACTAACTCAAAATCTAATGATTTCCCATTTCATTGTATTGACATGAAATAACTTCTGTGAGTTCTATTAATCAAAATAATAATAATAATAATCATTCAATATTTTAAAGTTATGGAGATTAGTGTTTTTACACATTTGAAATCATCAATCAATCATTGTTAGACTACCATTATAAACCTCGAAGCACTGCAAGACGGCCATTTCGTCCTGGTATGTGACTCATCAACAGTGCGCACCAACGACTCCTGCATCTCGCAGGATTCTAAACCGGGACCTTCTTTATTGTGCACGAACGCACTGCTGATGAGTCCCATACCAGGACGAAACGGCCGTCTTTCAGTGCTTCCAGGTTTCTAATGGTGGTCTAACAATGATTGATTGATGATTTCAAATGTGTAAAAACACTAATCTCCATTACTCTAATTGAAAATATCGTAAAATGTACTCACTAGTGACTAACTATATTGGTGAGGAAATTCTCGGAGTTCTAGTGAGAAGACGTGACCAGTGGAGTTCATACTTGTCGGATGTAGGCAGTCTCTACTGAAGACAAATGGGTGAGGTCGTGCTAAATCCCTAGATTGATCAGAGTTAGACATTAACACCCTTGGATGCCGGTCCAGTGGTCCAATGCTTAGACATTCATGCGCAAGACCGAAGGTCCTGGCTTCGAATCCTGCGAGATTCAGGAGTAGTGGATGCGTACTGCCAGTGATGAGTCCCATACCATGAGGAAACGGCCGTTCAGTTATTCCAGGTTTCTAATGGTAGTCTAACAATCATTGATTGATGATTTCATATGTGTAATAATTATTCGTTCATATTTAATTTTAAATCTTTTCCTGATTAGTAGTAATCCTAATAATACTAAAACCTTTCAAACTATACATCAGAATTATAATGTTGTAGGGTTCGTCACTTGGTACGCTTGAAGCTATTACGAGTTCACCATAGTCGATAAACACGAACGAGACAATGAACCAGAGTCCAGGTAGGCTACCTTGAATCCCAAGCTGAAGATAAAAGGCTTTGTAAGCGTAGAAAGTATATTCTACAAACACCGAGCAATCACAATACAATCAAGCACACAACTCTCGTTTATTTATACATCATAGAAACGTCCTTCGGCCAGTCACAAAAATAGCACACTAAAATACACAGCAGCCAATCACAGCCATGGATTTTCCCGGTGGGAAATGGGATCTCAAGGTCAACTGATCAGCCCATGCTGTCAAACGTGAAAACCAAAATAAGGCATTTATCAAGCGAGTTTTGGGGATCTAACATCCCCAACAAATTTTGATAACATATGTAGACCATAGGCTAACAAAAATGAAACATACCATCAAAACTAACACGTTTATAGTAAAGCTGAAAATTAATTTATTCCATGCATGATTTCAATGAAGCATAGCTATTACTAATTGAAGACTATGTATGATATACACATTTCTCAAGAAGATCATCAAGCTATCATCATGTGTTGTATATTTTGAAAAGAATATCGACTAGGTTTGATCAATAGGGTTTAAATGTTTCAAAGTTGAATATTGTTGCTTGTTTTAAATAACAAATTTTGTTTCGTTTTATTATTTGTAGGTTTCTGCCTATATTTTTCTCAGTGGTAATTATACAAATCGGTGTAACACAAGTAAGTGAATAATGATTTTATTGTTTTTTTACTGTTCATTACCTTTTGTATATATATATATATATGTATCTATTGAACAATTGTAGTATATTTCCATTTGAACATTATTGACAAATTCTATGATTTGTTTATTTATCATATATCAGAGATTTGTAGATTAGTAAATTTACAGTAAGATGTTATGAATCTACTGAGAGAAAATAATTTTTGGCTTTTCACTAGTTGCTGTCATTTTGTATACAGAATCGACAAGGTGATAATCTTTTTCATTATAGATTGATAAATATTGTTATTTGAGATTGAAATTGTGAAATAATCATTGTTAGATTACCATTAGAAACGTGGGAGCACTAGACAACGGATTGGTTGTAGTATGGGACTCTTCAGCAGTGCATATCCACGATAACCATGCTTAGACTCTTGACCGCTGAGCCAGCCGGTATCAAATGATGTGAATGTCTATCTTTGATTGATCCAAGTTTTTCCTGCAACCTCATCTTTTGTGCTGGTGTTTCATTCTCTGAGCTGGATGTTGTTTCGGTTGTGAAGCTTTCATTGTTCTTCTGAACAACATCATCAGAACAAACTTCAGATAAAAATGAAGTATTTGAAGTTTACTACGTTTGACCCGTAGTTTGTTCTGCTAACCTCGATCTTGATTGGTTGCTGTTGACCTTTGACCTGTCGTTGTTTGTAACTATGTTTTGATTGCCTCCATATTTTGATCTGTTTCTTGATCAGATCTTGAACAGATCGAAATGGGGAGGCGATAAAAACATAGTTGCAAACAACGACAGGTCAAAGGTCAACAGCAACCAATCAAGATCGAGGTTAGCAGAACATGCTATAGGTCAAACGTGGAGAAATGTGAATACTTCACTTCTCTCTGATGTTTGTGCTGATGATGTTGTTCAGTAGAAGGACAATGAAAGCTCCACAACCAAAACATCCGGCTCAGAGAACTGAACACCACCACAATCATCCACCTGAGCTACAAGTTTTCTCCACCATCTTTCATCTATTGTCTTCAGTGGCGCCTTCAGGTTTCTAATGGTTGTCTAACAATGACTGATGCATGATTTCAATTTAAGGTGATAATCACTCACTTCAGCTCTTCGCGGAAAGATTAACAACTAGACAAGTTAGCAGTGATACACTAACTGGAATTCGGTAACTACCGCTGTGTATCATGAATCCAAAAATGTAGACCGTTGGCAGAATATGAAGATACTTTAAAGCTGATGAGGTGTTCCCGAATTCGGATGAAACATTAGTTAATTGATTCCTGCTTTTTGGTGACTGTTAGTTGCAAAAAGAAACAAATAGATGAATGAATTGCATTTTAATTTTAAGCACACACAGCTCTCTGGTTCAATCTCATCATTTATATCATCACTTATTATTTGATAACTTATCAATGGGAATTGTAATTTTTTAATAAATCTAACTGTTGTTCATTTGTTAAACCTCTCAAAGTATTTTAACAGACTTTTAAAATTGACAATACTTCTTTCCCATATCTATACTAATTACATTAATTTACATTTCAGAAAAATATTATTGTCTTGATTATAGTTTCGGCCAGATTCTGATTTACCAGTAATACGAGCAATGTACTTGAATAGGATATATGGGAAGAAAACTAAGCCCTATGCAACCTTGAAACTTGTGTGCATATCTCTCATCAATCATCACTTATAGGTCTATTTCACCTCACCTTTGTGCTTGCCAGAATCATATCTAACCTCTCCACTTGTACTGTACTAACTTGACCTCATTGCACCAACCAAATCAATCTTGATCGAGATGCCTTGAAGGACGTGAAAACTTTTACATATCTATGCAGCATCATTGATGAGCGAGGTGCATCTGATGCAGATGCGAAGGCGTGGACTGGCATAACAAGGGGGTGCATTTCTACAAATGAAATACATCTGGAACTCCAAATAAATATCAGTCAACACGAAAATCAGGATTTTCAATGCAAATGTCAAAACAGTTCTACTACTGTATGGAGCGGAATCTTGAAGAAGTACGAAGGCGATCATTCAGAAGATACAAGTATTTATGAACAGTTGTCTACGCAAAATACTTCAGATTCGTTGGCCAGACACCACCAGCAATAACCTACTGTGACAGAGAACAACGTAGAGGAAATCAAGAAGAAGCGTTGAAAGTGGATAGGACAAACATTGAGGAAAGCACTGAACTGTGTCACAAGACAAGCCGTCACATGGAACCCTCAAGGCAAAAGGAAAAGAGGAAGGCCAAAGAACACACTACGCCGAGAAATGGAGGAAGACATGCGAAGAATGAATAGCATTTGTACAGAACTAGAAAGGTATACCTAGGACAAAGAATGTTGGAGAAAACTTGTCGGTGGCCTATGCTCCATAGGGGTTAACTGGCTTCATTATCACCTTAGGCTCATCCAGTTCGTAATTCGACGCATTATATCAGTTACATATTTCAAACCTTTCCATATTTTCCCCTAACTCATTCAACTCTTCCGTATGCAATAACTTCCCTCGGCAACTAGAATTCATCTATTCATGAGCTATTATTACAAAACAACATTTTTTTCCTGTTAAACGTTTCATTCGTACCAATCATACAGTTTGTCAAGTGTTCAGATATAATCAACCTTAAAGCCACCATCTTTAACTTGAATTATTGTAAAATCCATTTGAAATGTTCATATACATCCCACATATACTTACTGTCTGCTGTAATTCAACACTTATATAGAATCATAACAGAAAAGCTTGAATATATAATTATTGGAAAATCATTTGTTATAATTAAGGATTGCTTGTCTTCGAACCATTCTTTCAACAATCTATATTGTTCTTTCCATCATGCTATTTTTTTAATGTTTGTCTGAATTGTTATTAAATCTTCATATTGATATTTGAATGAGTTCCATGTTTTTTCTTCTTTTTTTTGTTGTTGCTGAAACTTATCATCAGCAAATAGATTTAAACGATCCATACAGATGTCAACGTATATGTACTCCAGAAAAATGTCGATGTGTTGGTAGGAAAGGAATAGAAGTGAGTGAATGTATCTTTCAAATTTGAATCATATTATGTTTCTGTAAATAATATTAGTTATATTAAAACAATTAATTAATCATTTGAAATCATGAATCGACCAAATTTAGACCATCATTAGAAACCTGGAAGCACTGAACGGACGGTCGTTTCTTTCTGCTGTGGGACGCATCAACAGTCTGCATCTAGGACTCCTGTACCTCGCAGGATTCGAACCGAGGACCTTCGGTCTTACACGCGAGCACCTAACCCCTTTGATCATTGAGCCGGTATCTAGTGGTATTAATGTCTAACTTCCATCGATTCATGGTTTTGCCTATTGTGTGTAGTGACGTAATCTATTTCATTTCATTGTGATAACTGACTCGAATTGCCTTGATTGGTTTAACAGTTTCATCTGAAAATATCCATGTATATTAAAGCCTGATGACGATCTAATCGAAACTCAATAAGAGTAATATAATTTAATTATACCAAAAAGGTGTGATATATACACCTAAAGATTATCATTAGTAAAGACTAAATATAGCATAATTTGTACTAAATCTTTTTACTATCATGATTTAACTTCTCAACTCAACTATAGAATAATCTAATTAAAATTCCCACCGTTCGTTCAAGGTTAAAATAATCAATCATTTAACAAATTAAAACAAACAAGCCGAAATACAAAGATCATTTTGAATTTGTTTGATTGACTAGTTAATAAAATGGATTCATACTATAAGTAGAAAGGTGTGATGTCAATCAAATAACTCTTAAGACTTATTCTATCCACAGAACAGTTAACAAGCGAAACAGATTATATTTAAAGGGAGAAATCATCCCAACTTTCTACTACACTTTCTAAAGCAATATTTTTGTCAATAGTCAGAACGTGTACAAGCAGACATTATTGCTTTATAATTGATCATTATCTCTGGTATTCCTATATAGTGTTATTATGTCAATTAGAATCACAGAAGCAATAATCAGTATCTTTTCGGAATTCGAAACACTACGGTAAATAGAATGATCATCATGAATAGTCTTATTGAATAAAGCTGTATGTAACGTTTATAGTTTGGTAGGTTCGATTTCATCCTAGAGGTATATTCCATGTTGGAGGAATATCCAAATGTAAAAATTTGGATTAGGAGAATAAGAGAATTAAGTAAGCCGACAACTCACTAATCACTTATGATAAACTTACGTTCAATAATCAAACTAACTATTTACAATTAACAGTGTAAAATTAAAAGAAATTGATTATTGAATTTAACTTTTAATGTGTTACATTTAATTAAATCAGAAATTATCTAGAATCGATCGTAAACAAAGGATCTTAACGACCTTATACCATTATAATAGCATGATGCATGGTCAAAAGTTTACAAAATGTCTCCTACCTTTGATCCAGATTCTATCGTAAATATGATTTTTGATTAAAGCTGATACTTATTCTCCTTGTTAGAATTAATCTCTCAACCCGAATTACGGTTGCATTGAACTATAGACACTTTTATGTTTAACAAACTATTTTAAAAGGTCTGGTCATTGATCCTGTTTTTATTTGGTAATGTCAAATATTTATTGACCATTTCTTGAATGAATTATTATCTGTAGACTGTGGGGAGCCAAATGAAATCCAAAAATATTTTAACTCAGCAAACATTGTAGGGTTTCAATAAACTTAAATAATCTTCACAACAACCCCACTATGCAATTACATGTGCTCACTAGTGACCAGCTTGATGAGAAATCTTCTCCTAGTTCTAGTGGGAAGTCGTGACCAGTGAAGTTCAAACCTGTTCGGATGTATAAAGTGTATGAGGTTGCGCAACTCCGTGAATTTGATCAAGTTAGACATTAACACCGTTAGATACCGGCTCAGTGGTCCGATGGTTAGGCGTTCGCGCACAATACCGAAGGTCCTGGGTTCGAATCCTGTGGGGTGCAGGTGTCGTGGATGCGCACTGCTGAGGAGTCCCATACCAGGACGAAACGGCCGTCCAGTGCCTCCAGGTTTCTAATGGTGGTCTAACATTGATCGATTCATGGTTTTAACAGTCAATAAACATTCCAAAAAGTATATCAGTAAATGAGTTAATGCAATGCAAAACAAGTATCTAAGAAATAAATTTTATATAGTCAGTAGGACGAGTGTTCATGGGTTCTTATATATATATTCACAATTATGATGATATAAAGTACATAGTTCCAAGAAATTACAGATCTAGATCCAAGTTGTTTGAATTCAAGTGGTTGGTCATATGTTGTATGACATGAGCTGAAAGTGTGTAGAACAGGATTGTTGATAAACAACAGTTACAGAACAGCAACCAACAAATTCAGAACTAGGTGTGTATACAAACACATGTATTCTGTGAACAATGATCAGTAAAACATGGAAATACTGAACAGCGTTGTACAATTTCCTGAGTACAACTGTTGGGGAAATTAGATCCCCAGAACTCACTTGATAATGGTCCTAATTCGAGCATGGAGTGATCAGTTGACCTTGAGATTACATTTCTCACCCGAAAAATCCTTGACTGTTATTGGCTCATGTATTATTTCAGTACGCTAGTTTTTGTGGCTCTCCAAAGGATGCTTCTATCATGTATAAATAAACTCAGTTTGTGTGCTTGTCAATACCTCAATTTTTTTAGGTGCTTGTTGAATACACTTTCTACATCCTGTCATGATCTCTTCCTCTACATAGTGGGGCCTTGAGATGCTCAGATTAGAGTAGCCTATCGTGTCACTGGATCATTTGTCATCGCCCTCGTTTTTACCGACTAAGGTGACCTCGTAATAACATTCAAGCATATCAATAACAAAGTTTCATTTGACCTTCTTATTACTGCTATTATTGATTGCAGAAAAAAATCAATTATTTAATTTTTCATGTCCCTCAAATTTCCCTCAAATTAATATACATTTCATATAACTCAGTAAAAAAATTCCATTTAAATCTACTTTTATTAAATTTAATTTAATTTAATTGTAAAACAAGGGAGGATTCGGTCCAATTGGTTCTCCTGGTGAAATTGGTTCAATTGGTGAACGTGGACCACCTGGTAATCCTGGGACAAAAGGTGAAAAAGGTGATACTGGTCAATTAGGCAGACAAGGATTTAAAGGTGAACGTGTAAGTATAAAAAGGTTTTGCTTACTGATTTTTTTTCTTCTCTCTTGAATATATGTGAGAAGCGCTTGTGTTTTTCTTTTGAATGAGTTAGTTTAATGTGGGATGGCTAACCTTCTCATCCAACCTTCCTCGTTCATCTGGACATGGGACTTAGAATAGCTCCAGGGAGGATCCAGGCGGAGTTTATATATATATATATATTAAATATCATCTAACAGATATGAGTATTATATAGCATAAAGTGATTATTTACTTTGAATGATTTGAGTATTAAATGTAATGATAATTGGTTAACTCGAAACATTTTTGAATAATCTACAGAATTTAGTTTTAAAACAATTCTAAGTAACAGTTACTTTGGTTAAATTGTTGATGCTAGTATTTATTTACGCTGACTATTTAAAGAATGGCTTAATCAAATGCAAATTAAATAAGTGGAATTTAGTTCACATTATGAGGTTGGATGCTAGCTGATTGGTGCGAAGTTTAAGAGATTGCGTTCAAGACTGATGGTTCTGGATTTGAATCATGTGAGTAGCAGGAGTTGTGGATGCGCACTTGTTGATGAGTTCCATACTAGGTCGAAACGGACTTCCAGTTCTTCTAGGTTTTCTAGTGATGCTCTAACAATGATTGATTCATGATTGCAAAGACATTGAATTCAACAATATCGTTCCTTAACTGAATATGAAATCTTATAATTATTGCATATTCTTACCATAAACTATTTGAATAACTGACACGAATGACTATCTATATGTACAGATCCATAAAACATCAGTATCTACATGTGTCCAGTTCAAGGATAACATTCCATTGAGATCAATTTGAATAAAGGATACTAATAGTTGAAAGTAATTTTCACATTATATTATCGAAAGAATTTTAATCTGATAATCATGAATTTAATTAGTAATCTCCAAAAACAGAGTTTCTCATTGAAACTTAGAAATGTCAGAAGGAATAACCTGACCTGTGACTGACTGTATAGAATAAAGTTATTTACATTACTTTTTTAGTGAAAAAAGTGTTGATTAGTTCAAAAACACAAAATAAATTATCTGAAAAGATTCAATCCTACTTCATAACAGTATGACGCAAAATTTTGAAGTAGAAACATTCCAATTTCAATGATCAACAACGTCATCAGAGTCCCATCATAATCTTAGAGTAAAACCAGTTGAACAAGAAAGTCATAATAGGATATTTTGTGTGAATTTAAAACTTTTCACAGCAGATATGAAGTTTAGTCACATGTAGAGTTGTTTGTTTGAATCACTTACTTACTTACTCACGCCTGTTACCACCCTCAATGGAGCATAGGCCGCCCACCAACAGCATTCTCCAACCAACTCTGTCCTGGGCTTCCCTCTCCAGTTCTGTCCAATGTTTGTTCATTCCTCTCATATCTTTCTCTATTTCTCGGCGTAATGTGTTCCTTGGCCTTCCTCTTTTCCTTTTGCCTTGAGGGTTCCATGTGAGGGCTTGTCTCTTGACGCAGTTAGGTGCTTTCCTTAGTGTGTGTCCTATCCACTTCCACCGCTTCTTCATGATTTCCTCCTCCACTGGAATTTAGATCACGATTACTTGATAAAAAAAAGCTTGTCTCTTGTATATATTAGATTCTTTTCTATCTGAAATCACTCCATGATATAGCAAATAAACTTTGAAACATATCTGAAATAATCCTTCATATGAATCATCCTTCATAATAATAACTGTATAATCATACTTTCACTCAATTCTGTTTTATTAAATTTCTGTATAACAACAATATCACAGTGATTTCAACAGTTCAAATGTTTTCTTTTTAATTTGTGTGAATTATTGAAACAAAGTGTACAGATTGATATTGAATGTTAATAATAATAATAATAATAATAAGATCATATGATTTGAAACAGTTTTAAAAATTATAACTGAGTATTTCAACTTGTATATGTTTGTTAATTAAATGTCATTTAAGATTTATTGAATAGTTAGTATTATTTTTTTATTGTGGTTATCAAAACATTTTTGATTTTGATTTTTTGGGATCAAAAAAAAGTATTTCCTATGTCATTATAAATTTATTAGGTTTCATTAAAGGTCATGTCTATTAATGATAACTAAGTGAGTTAGAGGACAATGAATAAGAAGTTTATTTGCCTAACTGATCAGATTTCATTTGGTAGATTCTTGTTTCTCCTACTCTTTCATTATAATACTACAGGGTTGTTTGATTTTATTATTTAGGGCCCACAAGGACCTCCTGGATATCCTGGTCAGCATGGATTTGATGTAAGTATTCATTATGTGTTTTATTCTGTTAAAAATAATCTTTCAAACTTTATTTCTCAATAAATTTGTTAACTCACTTACCAACAAAAGACAAACAGTATCATTAGACAAGAAACAGATATCATTAAGTTTCAGAGAGCATTAATCAATCAACAGCAACGTAGAACTTTGTACGTAAGTATATCAGTTCAAGTCGCCATATCATATTAGCACAGAATGAGACAGCATACTCTATAAGGAATCATCATTGGTATTTGGAGTTTAAATTACAACAAAACATTAACTGCCAGATCACTGACTTGATGGTTGGTTATCTGAATAAACTATAGAAACTATTCTGAAAGTTATTAATCCTTACTAAAATTTAATTCTGAGTGTGATGTTTAGTAAATATAAATACAAATGACCACATGTGATTCATCTCAGTTGAAAATAAATTAATAATTAGAACTGATCAGTAATAGATTGAAAAATAATAATAATATGTGGCTATCAAGAGTTCACCATAGTTGATACTGATAAGCTACTCTAATCCGAGCGTCTCAAGCACCCATTAACGGTATCAGAAAGTCTTGATATTCCGTAGAAAGTATTCTACAAGCACCAGAAAATATGAGGTTTTCTACAGAATAAGAAGAAGAGGAGCATAAAACTTTACAGACAATGCATATTTATACAGTTATATTCGATCGTGAATGCTAACCAATAAGAAACAACATTTAAAAGTATGTGAACTTGATAGTTTAGGACGACCTTCAACATTGACCAATAGAATTAAACTTACAAAATAATTTCTTGAGGATATTTGATGAATTTCCTAACACCTGTATTATGTTCTTTACAGGTGTTAAATGATAGAATTGACCGGTAGATATTTAACAATGTATAAATAAATTTATACAAGAATAAAACAGTAGTACATCATGACATTGTAGATCACTGTAGTGTAAAAATTTAAATTATCTTTTAAATGGATATCATTGTGGATATGAATACTAAATTTTATATTCAAAAGTCTAATCCTTTCTAACTAATTTCAATTAACTAAGATTTCAATAGTATAACTAAAATTATTTGTCTGTCAATAAATAGAACCTGTAAACTAGACTCTTAGAAGCCAATAAAACAGTCTCATCTTTTATATACTTTATGATATATCGATTCTTAGGAGTCGAATAAATACTGATTACCACTATTTCGGTTTGGTACTTCACATTCATTCAAACTGTCGTATAAGTTTAGTCTCGGAATTATTAGAAGCGTCTAGAAAGTCAAGCATTCATTTAGCAAACTTAGTTTACAATGACTATGTGAAAATTCATTTTATCGATTCAAATCGGAATAAGTTTGAAGAATGTCTTTATGAACACTTGGAAAGTATCAATATACATATTTATATTATTGATGTGTACTAATACTTTTAAAATCTATTCAATATAGGGTTATCCAGGTTTTATGGGAGCTAAAGGGGATAAAGGTGATCCTGGTTGCTATGGTGATCCGGTAAGTGATTCATTACAAAGTAGTACCTAAGTAACTAAACATTGTTCTTCCTTTTTTTACTGAACTTTATGGTCACTTGTTGTTTTAATGGTGTTTTTTTATTTAATTTGTATTGGTTTTTTTTTTGAATCTTACCACTGATGTTTAGGACTGCAAGTAGATCTGTCTGGAGAATCTCAAGCGGCGGAACAAAACTTTTATCACAGATTTCACTGACAACCAGTATCCATTTCTGTCTTTATTTATTCATTCATTATTTTTCTGATCAGCTTGAATTTCAAATAGATTAGTGACAATTTTCAACATAGACATTATCCAGTTAACAGTTGCATATTCAATTTATACTTCTCTCCAATTTGGAAACAAACTCCTCTTGACTAATGTTGAAAAAATTTTTTTATTTAGTAATATAACTAATTCAAATTTTTGGGACATTTATAATCAAACGAAAATAAGAAAATTAAGAACTGGCCAAAGTTGAAATGTGAATTAGTAGTCGAAATGTATTTTGCTTGTCACCAAATATGGATACTCTGAATTTAATTCATTTAAGATTAATTCTGGTTTATGTAACTCTACTATTTAATACTAGTTTAGGGTTTGTTTCATTTTCACTGATTCCTTTCCTGATGAACGTTTGCATCGAAAATCATCCTTTAATCAATCTGAAATCTTTGAGATATTCATTGTTCTCGGTACACTTTTCGAAAAAGTTGATTCAATATTCCACTAAAGAAGTTTGACGGTTCATTATTAAAACCCATTTTGATTGCCTCAACAATGCGAGAAAGTAGTTGAAATTTTCAATAAATGTCATCTATATTGGAAGTGGTTATTTTAATTTATTTCAACAAACTACTCACAGTAGGTTAACACGTACATTAAAATTTTTATCACTAAGTAGGAAACAATCTCGCAGCAGTTGATTAAATTTATCTAAATTTCCAACAAGTATTTTACACACACAAGAGTGTAACCATTATTTGTTAATATTTCGACCGTAACTGATATACTTGACAGATGAATTCATGATACAATGACATTTAATGAAGACAAGAGAAAGAAGAACGTTTAATTCAAAATTATTCTCTGGATAGGATGGAAATTCGACCAGCTTTTTCGAGGACAATGAATTTCTTTAGTTATAATCTCTAATTCAGTTTTAAAGAAGACATAAATAATGCGCTAGTTAGATTTTTCTTTAAATTACTCTGAGATCGTAAATGCATGACTTCGTGAGAAGGTTATTACATAATCGTATTAATACTTCTTTTACATCTGTCTATACTTTAATCTTTTAGTAAGATGGGGTCAGTTAGTCAAACCGAAACAATTAATTGGGAAATTACCTTATTAGACCAGCTATTTTATTATTATCTTTTATGTCGTTCACATTAACTTCTGATTTAGTCTTGTTACTTACTTACTTATTACTTATGCACTTACTTACTAATCCATTTGCTTACTTACTTACTTACGCCTATTACCCCAAGTGGAGCATAAGCCCCTGACCAGCATTCTCCAAACTACTCACTCCTGGGCTTCCTTTTCCAGATCTGTCCAACTGCTGTTCATTCTTCCCATATCTCTCTCCATTTCTCGGCGTAATGTATTCCTTGGCCTTCCTCTTTTCCTTTTGCCTTGAGGGTTCCAAGTGAAGGCTTGTCTTGTGACGCTGTTAGGTGATTTCTGCAACGTATGTTCTATCCACTTCGAACGCTTCTCTCTCACTTCCTTCTCCACTGGAATTTGGTTTCTTCTCTCCGACAGTAGATTGTTGTTGATGATGTCTGGCTAGCGGATTCGAAGTATTTTGCGTAGACATCTGTTAATGAATACTTGTATTTTCTGGATGATGGCTTTCGTAGTTCTCCAAGTTTCAATTCACGCAGTAGAACTGTCTTGATATTTGTATTAAAAATTGTGACTTTGGTGTTGGTTGACAGTTTCTTTGATTGAGATTCAGGTGTTCTTCAACTATGGAAATGTAGCCTTTGCTTTCCAGATTCCCGCCTTCACATCTACATCAGATTCACCTTGCTTGTTGATGGTGCTGCCTAGATATGTAAAGATTTTTACGTCCTCTGAGGCATCTCCATCAAGTGAGATTTGGTTGATGCATGTTGTTTTGAATCGGAGAATCTTCTTGCTTTTCCCTTCATGTATGTTGAGACCTGTTTCTGCTAAATTAATCTTATTAAACTATATATGAAATTAATCTATATATAAAATTCGAATCATGTTACACATTATTCTCAATCTTGAAGACATTTTAACATTCTTTCAAAACTTTGTTTAAATTATTATGTTAATACACTAACAAATTCTTTGTTTATTTCAATTACAAAAGTACATTCCTCTATACAATGAAAACGATCATTTCATTTGATCGATTTCACTATTAATCTGATAATAACGTATTCAAATGAAATTGATATATTCATTGGTGTTAAGTAATGTTGTGGTGTGTGCTACTTATACGAACGATATAAGTAGTATAAGAAGGGACGTGAAAGAAGAAGTCTCACGGTCAGAAGAGGAAAACGGAAAGCAAATGGAGCAAAAGCAAGAAGTAAATGGAGTACCAACAGGAAGGAAAGGAAGCAACAACAGGAATGGAAGAAGGATGGAGTGTTGGAAGTCACGACTCAAAGATGGTGTGCAAATAGAGTATTCAATGTAATGTTTTCGTTTTTAACTGACTCAGAGTGTAAATTTGCGTAATTCAATCTTCCTCGCCTGCCTCAGTCTTCTCAATGTTACCTTAATTAAATTATATCAGTATTTATTTTCATGGTATATTTAATCTTTTATGATTATGATTTCAACAGGGAGAAAATGGAATGCCTGGTGATTCTGGAAGACCAGGAATAAAAGGTCTGCCTGGATTTCCTGGTAATAAAGGTATTAAAGGAACTCCAGGTTGGGGTGAAAGAGGTCAACTTGGATTCCCTGTAAGTGTATAAAATGTTTTTGCTTTTTTAAACGATGAGTAATTTGTAAAATGTTTCATTTCATTTGACATATTTTCATAATATAACCAGATATAATTATGTAACATGCTTGTTGATGAGCTGAAGTACCTCTGTGTTCATTATATGTGAATACTAGTGTTATAATCCTCTGTTTATTAGAACCTAGTTATTCCTAATGTTTAGTATTCTCGGACACTAATTCACGTTCTCGCAAAGTCAGAACATAGTTGAACAAGAAACAGGTTATATTTCAATAACAAGATTAGATGAGAGTCAGAAGATCTAACGGAAAAAGACGTTAGTATACTTATAGTTTTTATGTGAGAAGATTCTAGAATATTCTACAAGTATCGACTAGCGCTGATTGGATACGAATGAGTCAATCAGCGTGCAACACAACACAATCATGCTTTATTTCCAATCTATGTCATACTAACAACTAGGAATCATGATAGTTATCTAATCATTCGTATTTTATTTTTCATTTTCCGCTGTCACTATAATTTTTTACAAGTATCAGATGATAATCTTATAATTTAAACTTGTTATGTGATAGGACAAGTTAACCTGAAAGTATTATTAAGTGATGAAAATAGTTGATTGAATAGAGAGTCAAGTGTTAATATAGATATTTTTGCCCAATCAAGATGTCAGTTTTATCCTTATATAGTATTGAATTTGATTTTTGGTTAATTAATAAAAGGTATACATAAAGATAGATGTGTACAGATATATTTAAATAAAAGATAGATTAATAATAAAGGAAGACCAAATTAGACTTATTCAGGTGTCTTCTGGTGATTTGTAATTAAGACGTAATCAGTGTAGTTCAACCCTGTCAAGTGCAGACTGTAACTACCGAAGACAGTAGGTGAGGTCGAGTGAAAATCCTTAGATTGATCAGACTTAGACATTACCACCCTTGATTGCCAGCTCAGTGGTCCAGAGGTTAAGCATTCGCGCATAAGACTTAAGGTCCTGAGTCCGATTCCTGAAGGTAGCAGGTGTCATGCACACGCACTACTAATGAGTCACATAGTAGGACGAAACGGCCGTCTCATGCTTCTAGGTTTCGCAATGTTGGTTTCATAATGATTCATTCATCATTTCAAGATGAAACTACGCTCTCCAAAATGCTCTGATGCAAAATTTTAATAAGTAATCAATTTAGCTATGATAAACTATATAAATCATAGAACCATTATTGAATCTTTTCTAATATTTATCAACTTTAAATTCCGACGAGTTTAAAATAAAGATGAAACAACTTTTTTTCAAATTATTCTCCTAAGTTATGTTAGTTTATCACGAAAAAATATTATTCAAAGAAGTTGTTTGCATAAAAATTAGATTTTCATTAGAATATTAAGTATTTACAACTAGTGAACTAACATTACAGTGTAAAACCTTCTACAATTATTTAATATTTTTTGAAACCATGAATCGATCAATGTTAGACCACCATTAGAAACATAGAAGCATTGAACGGCCATTTCGTCCTGGTATAGGACTCATCAACAGTCAGTCAGTCAGTCAGATGCAACGTAGAACTTCGTACGTTAGTACATCAGTTCATGTTGCCATACCACATCAGCACAGAGATGTAATTGTCATTTCAAATCCAATAGTAGAAGAGTTAATAAAAGGTATTAGAAGTAATCGAAGAGGTTAGGATTAGAAGATATTATTCAAGAAGTATGATTCAGTGAGAAAAGTTTAGAAAGACAAAACTAGAGGTGTTGAAGAACCCAGAAGATTAGGATTTGAGAGAACACAGAGAATAAATGCACCGGCGCCATTGCAAACGATTTTGAGCCATGTCATTCAAGGTCTCTAACCATTGGTGACTATCGTCTCGCGGTCCCCAACCAGGTAGTCTACATCTACCAATGACTTCATAGATTTCTGCCATGTTTTGGTCTGGCCGCCCCTAACTTTCTTACAGCCTATTCCTACAGTACAAAACAAAGCTCTTCGAGGCAATCGGTGGTTAGGCATACGCAACACATGTCCGAACCACCTCAACTGATGAAGTTTCATTACTTCATCTATTGATCTGCCATTCTTACCTAGCACCCGATTCCTAATAACAGCGTTTCTCACTCGGGTGTCCCACAATATACGAGCAATGCTTCGAAGACATCTATGATCGAAAACCATTAACCTACGAATATCTTCTACTTTCCCTGGCCATGGTTCACAGTCATTTGGTAGGACGGAGTGAACTACTGCACCGGACACTCGTCCTTCAGTCAGCAAACGATTATCTCGCCTACACCATAAATGACGCAGGTTGGCAAAAGCCAATCGAGCCTTCTGTATCCGTGTTGAGATTTCGTCAGTCACCAGGCCATCGGCACTGATGAGACTCATCAACAGTGCGCATCCACGACTCCTGCACCTTGCAGAATCCAAGCCCAGGACCTTCGGTCTTGCGCACGAACGCCTAACCTTTGGACCATTGAGGTCTGTAGTCAGAATTTAAATACAATCGTTTACAATAGATATGTCCATTACATAGCTCATTGATACATCAATTAAACAACAGTATATATCATTCAAAGGAATGCATCATGAATAAGCGCATAAGATCCTGAATGAAATAAAGAATATGAACTGATTTAGGTAGTCTTATGCCAAGACGAAATACATGTCTAATAGTTTCTGGTTTTCAATGATTCACTAACTAAAACCAGTTTGTGATATCAACTATGAAAAAAATGGATATTATTGAGAGAAGGTTATACTCCGATGCTAAGTAATGTAAATAAAAAAAAAATTTTTGTCACCCTTTCAAGACTCATGCTGTTGTATACTATAAGTTCTAATCATCATTTTAATTCACGTGATTTCGGACTTAATCATGTCCAAAAAGGTTAATCAAATCCATGATTCATCAACCTAGCCCGTCATCTCAATTGCAAAACATCTAATGATGAGTGGTCATCAAATTGACCCAAAATCAGCCTTTAGAGTTGTGACATGTCATCAAAACCCACACACACACTGAAACTACTCGAAGCTATCTTGATTGGTCGGAAAAGACCAACACAACTTTATTTGTTCAAAAACAACTGTATGTTGGTTGACCTTTGTTTACCATGGTTTTATTGAGTGAATGTCATGTTAAATAAGAAATTTTGACCTTATCTTCAAAACTGCTGTATTTACACAAATAACATGTTGCTTGTAGTATGTGACTGACGAGAAAGCACGAAATGGTACTATCTCACAAAATATGTCTTCTCATTTCTGTATTCAAACATGTCATTGGTGTTAAAAAAAGTGGCGAGAGCAATTATATCTCCTTATAAGTGAAGCAAACAAAAATTTATTAGGATTAAAACACATATCATCATCTAAAACAAACATATTGAAAATAAGATACTATAAAATAATTGTCACTTGCGACATTGGAACTCAATAATTCAATGAATTTCGTATATTATTTTAAACTACTAATGAGTAGTGCCGGTTTATGAAACATTTTATGTTTTGCTGTATTCAAGAAAATGACTTTTTTACACAGAGTGTAAAATAGTTGACACTAATGAAATATCACAAAATTACGAAATTATTGTACTACACTCGTTGCTTAATCAGTAAATAGTGTTGAATCTTGAAATAGAACTAATTTTCGTATGTATGGGGTTAAATTAATTACTCACAGAACAATAAATATATCCCTTGAACTTTGAACAGAGAGATGAGAAGACATATTTTGTGAGAAAGTACCATTTCGTGCTTTCTCGTCAGTCACATACAAGCAACATGTTATTTGTGTAAATACAGTTTTGGATTTATCATGTGTAATAACAGAAAACTAAATAACCAGAGCTTTCTATAGTAATTATCAACTGGAATATATATTATATTAAAAATTAACTTTATCAAATGACAATTGTTTTAAAGCCATACTCTCAGCTAATAATCTCAACAGATTAATTTATGATATTAATTATGATAATAAAACTTATTTCTTTTTTGTTTAAACTAGGGACCACGCGGAGATACTGGTCCGATTGGAACTTATGTAAGTTTCTTCACTAATATATATTTTATATTTGTAAAGTTTAAAATTGATATTATCCAATGTATTTGAGCACTATTTATTCAACCTTGTTAGGTGTAGTCAGTTATCTACGGAAGACAATGGGTAAGGTTGTGCAAAACCTTAGCTTGACCGAAGTTAGACATTAACACCGTCGGATACCACCAGCTCAATAGTTTGCACACGAGATCGAAGGTCCTGGGTTTGATTTTCCATGAGTGGGGGTAGTGGAAGCACACTACTGATGAGCCCCAAACTAAGATATGACAGTCATCCAGTGCGTTTAAATTTCTAATGGCGTTCTAGCAATGATCAATTCATCATTTCAATGAAACTCACTCACAACCAACTGTATGATGATGATCGTATGTCAGTTATTTATTTACAATCAAAGATGTTCAAGCAAGTTTCTATCCTGTTTAAATAAAGAACTTTACACAATTTATAACTTCAAATGGTATTTACTTTCACCAAGGTGTTTATTCATCTATGCCCAAAATGCCTAAGACATTAATGTTTTCATAATCAACTTAATAACTACATTATCTAATTATAACTTTTGAATAACATCAAAAATATTATTTGTATAAACCATGTAATATTGTAGATGTTTCCTAGTGAATACCTAGATAAAATATAAATGAAAATGATTTTTACAGTTATTAACTATCATCCATATCCCTCTCAAATTATATTTAGACACTTTCATTCAGTTTTATTGATTATTTGAATCTTTCCACTGGTGTTTACGGCTTCAGGTGGTATATGTTCATCGTGTACAGATTGTCTCGACATTACCGTTAAGTTGCAAGTATTATTCACATAGATGAATGATTACTAGTAGTTGATGTAAAGATGTACGTTTCTTGTTATTTGGGACATGGGAGTGATTATCAAGACTCAATAGCTAAGTGGATGTGTTACGCCTGCACGTAAACACGTCAACTTGATATACTTGAACTATTACGAGTTTACCTAGTCGGAAAACGAGAGCGAGGATCGAGGATCCGGTGACACGACATACTACTCAAATCCGATTATCCCAACCCCCATATTTATTTAAAAATAAGAAGACATGATATGAAGTAGAATCTGTATTCTACAAGCATCCAGAAAGTACGAGGTTCGAATCCAGAAGAGAATCAGTATCCTGGACTAGGGATCCGGGACCGAGCCCTGGTTACAGATAATGCGTATTTTTACATTTTGGTGGAATAGGAAACAGCATCGAATTCTGTGACATTGACAGTTAAGACGACCAATAGGAAGTAACATTTGAAGTGACATTGATAGTCAGGACAACCAATAAGAAAGAACAGTCCGGATGACTAATAAGAGAAAACATTTCAGTATTTGACTTTGACAGTTAAAACGACCATAAATTTGACCAATAGAAATCGACCAATAGGATTTGATCAATAATTCTCTTAGGATATTGGATGAATATCCTAATGGGATGGCGTTTGGAGGGAACAGTATTCAGTTTGAGTCTTGCAGTGAAAGTCAAATTTGAGATGCAGGTTTACCCACCTGACGAGTCCCGAGTAGGACGAAACGTATGTCCTAGATGTGACTGTTAGTCATCATCTATCTATGCTAATAAGTTAAACACTTTGCCAATGTAGAATAGAAGAAACTTGATATATACCAAGAGTGAACTACTGTAAGAATGTTATAATATTTATATGTTGATTCCAATACGTAGCTAAAACAAATGAAGTATACTTCCAATACGAAAATGAATCTGACAAGTATGAACGGACAAAATCATTTATACAAAATAACATATTAAAAAACACGAAGAGACAGAAAAAAGATATGACTTTGTCGAATTGCTTTCATACACAAATTTGAAAAATCATTTGAATGAATAACATCACAGTACATATAGTATTTTATATTCTAAACAATATTTAGTCTAAATGGATAAGATATCCGCCTAATAACCAAAGGACGAATCTACTGCGCAACAGTTCGCTCTATGCTCATTGATGGCTGTGAAACATGACCAGTAAGAGTAGAAGATATTCATAGGTTACTGGTTTTCGATCATAGGTGTCTTCAAAGCATTTTTTTCATTTATCTTGGGACCGGTGAGTAAGCAGTGCTATCATTAGGAAATGGGTACTGGGTAAGGATGGCATACAAATGGATGAAGTAATGAATCTTCATAGTTTGAAGTGGTTGGGACACATGTTACGTATACTCAGTCACTGACTACCTCGACGAGCGATGTTTCATGGTGTAGGGGTAGGTTGGAAGAAAGCTAGAGGCGGCCAGAATAAAATATGGCAGAAATCCATTGAGTCATGTCTGTAAATGTAGACTACCTGGTTAGTGTCCACAAGAAAATAGTAACCGATGATTAGAGACTTTGAATGATATGGCTCAAAATCGTTTGCAATGGTGCAGAGCATCTATTTTTTTGTATTCTCTCAAGTTCTAATCTTCTGAATTCCTCAATCACTGTTTTTTCTCTCTTCAAATTTATTTCACTTATTTATACCTCTTTAATAATATCTTTAAACCCGAATCTTCTCCATTACCTCAAATACTTCCAATATTTCCGCCACTACGGGATTTGAATCGACAATCGTATCTCTTTGCTACCGAGATACGGCAAATTGAACTTATGTACGTACGTGTTGGGGATGTTAGATCCCTAGAACTCGCTTGATAAATATCTTTATTTTCGATTTATTTCATGGACCGATCAGTTGACCTTGAGATCACATTTCCCACCCGGCAAAATCCTTGACTGTGATTGGTTACTGTGTCATTTTAGTGTGCTATTTTTGTGACTGTCCTAACGACGTCTCTATAGAGTATAAATAAACGCAATTTGAGTGCTTGCATTCATTTATGTGCTGAATGGGTGTTTGTAGAATACAATTTCTACACTATATCAAGACTTCTTGCTGGTACAATAGAGACAATCGGATCACAGTAGCCTACCTGGACTCTGGTTCATTGTTTTGTCCTAGTTATTCGACTACGGTGAACTCGTAATAATTTTAAGCATACCTAGAGACAAGCGTAACAGTACGTACCAAGTTCGTCATTGTAACTGACTGACTGACGATCGAAATGCATATGATTTATATGAGAATGTAACCTTGTATATTGTTGTCACAATAATTACTGAAGTACGAAAGATAAAAATCCAAATGATACATTTTTTTTATCACAAATAAATCATAATGATGATGCGCATTTTTAACAAAACCTAATCACAAAACATGAATATTATTATTATTATTATTATTATTATTATTATTATTATTATTATTATTCAATCCTTAAATTCTTATCTGAAATGAAAGATAATTATTATTTGTATGAACTAAATTTAATTGTAATAAGATATGATTTTTCTCTGTTTTACAACTCAATAATCCAGTAGTTGACTGTCATTGTTTCATTTTTTTTTCAATTCTTAGGGTATTCCTGGTCAACCTGGTCCAATGGGTGATACAGGTAATCGTGGATTGACTGGTATTAAAGTAAGTTTTTTAATAATTTCTTATATTTACACTTACAGAATTTTTAAATATTTTTTTATGTATACAGGGTATCGACTATCAAAAATAAAACTAGATTTAAACAGATTAAGTAGATGAAGGTCACTTCAAGACGAAATTATGTTTTCATTATAAACGTAATGAATGGAACTAGTAAGATTTTAATGAATATATAATAGACAGAACTAATGAATTGCACAATTTGCCAATAAATATGTAATCGTGAAACGAAACATAGAAAGATAAGAGAAACTGAAGCTCTAACAAAAGAAGTGATCATACAAGCTCTAACTGTACACGTTAATATGGTTTTGTGTTGCTTAACACTCTTGTTAACCAAAGGACGAGTGTACTGCGCAGTAGTTCGCTCTGTCCGACTATACGGATGCGAAACATGGCCGTTAAGAGTAGAAGATATTCGTAGGTTACTAGTATTCGATTATAGGTGTATCTGAAGCATTGCTCATGTATCGTGGGACAACCGAGTAAGCAATGCTGTCGTTAGGAAACGAGTTCTAGGTAAGGATGACAAATCAATAGATGAAGTATTGAAACTTCATCAGTTGAGGTGGTTGGGACATGTGTTACGTATGCCTAACCACCGACTGCTGCGACGAGCTGTGTTTTGTGGTGTAAGATTAGGTTGGAAGAAAGTTAGGGGCGGCCAGACCAAAACATGGCAGAAATCCATGAAGTCATTGACGAGTGAACTGAGTCATGTTGGTAGATGTAGGCTATCTGGTGGGGTTCGCGAGAAGAAAGTCACCAATGCTTAGAGACCTTGAATGACATGGCTCAAAATCGTTTGCAGTGGCGCAGGTGCATCCACTCTTTGTGTGCTGTTTAATTCTAACCTTTTGAATTCCTCATCATCTCTATCTTTCTGTTTCTAAATTTATCTCACTGAATTATACTTTTCGAATCATATCTTTGCTCCCAAATCTTCTCCATTTCTGCTAATAATTCTGCTATCGCTATCACTCTTGGATTTGAACTGACAGTTATGTCTCTGTGCTGATGTGGTATGGCAACCTGAACTGATGTACTTATGTACGAAGTTCTGCGTTTTATCTGTCTGTCTGTCAATCTATTGCTTAACACTGACGCTTCTCTACTACATCCTAAAACTGTGTACTTGCATCGTTCCGTGATACTGTTTATTAAGTTCTACTATCCTATCTGTGTATAATTTCAACATTACAATTTTTCTTCACGTTAAACTTTATATGACTAATTGACTTAAACATTGTATGATAGATAAATAAATTACAACACGAAGTAATTTCAGATAAGGTTCATTTCGAATAAGTTTGTCATCAAATAAAAAGATAGAGCAGATAAGGTGTGGATGAATCGTTTATAAAAATAAGAATAGATTAAGTATATATCATTCATCATTACTTAATTACTGGCTTACTCCTGTCACCCCTGGTAGACCATAGACAACCGACCAGAATTCCCTGATCTACTCTCTCCTGGGCTTTCCTTTCCAGTTCTGTCACAATTGCTGTTCATCATTCTCATGTCTGTATTTTTTAGCCTACCTCTTTTCCTTTGACTTTGGATATATATATATATATATATATATATATATATATATATATATATATATGTAGTGTATTAACAGGCAAGAGTGTGTGTGCACTTACTATAGAGGGTTGGGTAAAAAATAACCAATCGTTGTATGTTCGACAGTCAAGTTCCTAGTTCAAATCTTTTCAATAGTTCTTTATAAAAACAGATGTATATTCTCTATGAAAGAATACAGTCTGTATTTATAGTATGTAACATGAGTAACCACATGTCATAATTCTACGTTATTCTTTACTTTGGTAAACCAGGAAGTCCTTTGCGATGTCTATTAAAACGTCCCTAGATTAATGACCTATATACCAAAATTTACTACATATTTCTTAGTGTTTAAATGTACATTATTTTGGTTAAATCTTCCGATTATTTTGTGTACTAATGGTGTTGTATTGTTTGGAGACGTCAGATCCCCGAAACCCGTTTGGAAAAGGTCCTAATTTTGTAATTTATTTATGGAATTTTGAATTTTTATATTTTCGCGCAAAAAACACGCTCATTTTGACCTTCCGCTTAAATTTATTTACCACTCAGAAAATCCTTGACTATCATTGGTTGATGGATTATTTTAGTTAGTATGCTATTTTGTGGCTCTCACTAAGAGCGTATTTATCATTGTATAAATAAGTTTGAGTTGTGTGATTGTTGTCCTCGTACTTACATTCTCTCTAAGTCTGATCAAGACTTATTTCCCTAGATTGTGGAGCCTGGGACAATCGGATTAGAATAACCTATCGTGTCATTGAATCACTAATCTTCATTCCGTTTACCGAATTAAATGAACTTGTAACAGCATCAAGCATATCATATATGACTTAAACAAAACGATGAATATATCCTTCATGATATTATTTATACTTAGTGTGAAAAGAGTAATTTAATACTGGTGACTATAATTTCTTATTTTTGCATAGGGATTTAAAGGAGCACGTGGTTCTCCTGGTAGAAAAGGTCGTCCAGCAGCACCTATCACAATCGAAGGTCAAAAGGGTGATAAAGGTCAACGTGGTCCACGTGGCAGTGAAGGTTATCCTTGTACACTGGATATACATACACAAATTGGACCACAAGGTCCACCAGGTCCGGTTGTAAGTTTAAATAATTAAAAGCTTATGCCTGATTTATAATGATGTTTTGTAAATATATGTCACTGATTACCTACTGTTGTATATTATTTTTAATAGGGTTTTAAAGGTGACAAAGGAGATCGTGGATCTATTGGAGACTTCGGTGAAGCAGTAAGTGAATTATTTGAAAAATAATTTATTTAAACCTGATTGTGAAATTAACTAGACATATATATATTATTAGTATATAGCAATAAACTACATATGTGATAACAAAGCCGAAGTCACGTTTACTTACGTAGAAACAGAAAGCGTGACCAAAACTCCAACTATTGCAATTTTCAAGTAGTTAGTGTTAGACGCTCAACGGAGTTCTATAGCCAAGGCTTAGTTCTTATGACATTTCTGCATAACATATACTTCTAACGCCTGTTACCCGAATCGGAACATAGGCCGCCGATTAGAATTCTCCAGTCTATTCTGTCCAGGGCCTTCCTTTCCAGTTCTACTCAATGGTTATTCATTTTTCAATGTGTTCGTTGGTTGTATGAAACTTTTGTAATGTTGTTCGCCCCATTTCTGTTAGTGGGACATTTAAATTAAAGCATGACTACGTTGCTACGCGCTGATTGGCTGATTTCCTATCCAATCAGCGCATGATCGATTCTTGGAGAACAGGGTAGAAAATTCTCGTATTGTTAGCTGCATGCTGATTGGCTAAATCTAATCCAGTCAATCAGGTGAACTTCTATCCAGAAGCTTCAATCAGAGTTAGACATCAACACCGCTGGATGCCGGCCCAGTGATCCGATGGTAAGGCGTTCGCCTACAAAGCCAAAGGTCCCGAGTTCGAATCCTACGAGGAGCAGGAGTCGTGGATGCGCACTGCTGAGGAGTCCCATACTAGGACGAAACGGCCGTCCAGTGCTTTGAGGTTTCTAATGGTGGTCTAACAATGATTGATTGATGATTTCAAGTGTGTAAAAATAAACTAACGTTGTATCCACTTTTGCCTTCGCCATCACCTTTGACTTCTTATTTCCATTTAACCTTGCTATTTGGAATATAATCTTTCCCTGTTCAACCGTGTTTTTGATTCTTGGGAACTTGTCCAGTGTATTGTGGTCAGAGAATACTAAGCAATAGGATTTAGCTGGGAATTATTTAAGCAAGCGTTACAACAATTTCCCAGTGCCTTTTTAGTTGCAGTCTCATCTTGGCCATCAGCAACTGATGATCTGAAACTCCCAGTGGAGTTACAACTATATAAATGAAAGATATTTTCAAAATAATGAAACATGATGCTTTGAAAATATATATATATATATCATATCATTCAGACATTTTTAAAAATGTGTAGAACGTACAAGAGACTTCATTGGTGGTGTATATTTACTCCATCTAACTAAAAAATTTGAAAGAAATTTATCACAACCGCAGATTTCATATAACTATTAAAATAAGTTGTTAGTTATGCAACAATAGGAAAAAAGTATTTTCTGGCTAAACAAACAACAGTATATCTATCTATTAATAATGTAGTGTATTATTGAAAATTAAATGCAGATAGTTAAAAGCTTGAAATAATTCATTGCAATTTCAGAAAAGAACTCAGTAAAGTTAAACAAACCGTACACAGACTAAAGTGGTAATGTATGCATTTTTCAATGTTCAATATATATGTGAGATATCAAGCATTTTTAAGCATTTTTCAATTCATTAACTGATTGAATCTTGCACTGAATGGCTTAATTTTCACTGAAGATTTCATTTCAAACGCGAACTTCCACTTTATTTGCTTTTTCCATCGAATGAAAAACTCGAATTAAACAAAAAAGCATTCACATTTACGTCTACTCATCAGACTTTAACATTTATTGACACGAATTGAATAATCATGTGATCACCTTAGGTTATTCACTTATTAATTACATCAAAATAAAGTTGAATAAGACAAGGAAGAGATAGATATTAATCTGCATTACGGGGTTGTGAAGATTGTTAAGTTACACATTTTTGAAACCATGAATTGATCAATGTTCGACCACCATTAGAAACCTGGAAGCACCGTTTCGTCCTAGTATGGGACTCCTCAGCAGTGCGCATCCACGACTCCTGCTTCCCGCAGGATTCAAACCCAGGACCATCGGTATTGTAGGCGAACGCATAACCACCGGACCACTGAGCCGGTATCTAACTTGATCCGTTCACAGAGTTGCGTAACCTCATACACAGTCTTTGGTGAGCACTGCTTCATACCCGAACAGGTTGAACTTCACTAGTCACGTCTTCCCACTAGAACTCGGAGAAGATTCCTCACGAAGCTAGTCACTAGTGAGCATAGGTAATTTGTATTACGGGGTTGTGAAGATTGTTAAGTTACACATTTTCTTCGAAACCATGAATCGATCAATGTTAGACCACCATTAGAAACCTCGAAGCACTGGACGGCCGTTTCGTCCTGGTATGGGACTCCTCATGGTATAACCTTAGCTGAAAAACAAAGTTGTGAATAATGGCTTAAGCTATCAAACAAATCTGTAAATAATGACCAACGGAATTCTAACCGAGTAACAGAAGTGTCATATATTTACTAGAAGATATGTAATTTCTTTTTTCAACCCTTTAAGCGTGAATCATTATGGGGATTGAAACTATTTTAGTGAATAGTGACTACCATTTGTTCTCTAGCATTCTGTAATCTACTTTACTGATAATTTATCACATTAATTGATTTTATTTTTTTTTTGTTAATTAAGGGTTTTGATGGACCTCCTGGAGTCCCTGGTGAAAAAGGTCTTCCTGGTCGTCATGGTGACAGAGTATGTTAAATGTTTCTTGATAAAAATTATTACCTTTTAATATAGTATAGTAAAATGAGTGGAGTTTTAGCTACTTCAGTTATTGTGAATTAAAAAAAACCAAGACAGACATACTCGATATGTATACCATAATGTCTCTTCCTCACTTAAAATGTTAACCACACATGTTTTTCAGTTGTTACTTTGAATTACACACACTTCAAGAGTACATACATACTTTCTTATATATATATATATATATATATATATATATATATATATATATATATATATATATATATATATATATATATATATATATATATATATATATATATATATATATATATATATATATATATATATACAATTCAATTACAGTTATAGAGATCATTGTTTTTACTCATAGAAATCATGAATGAATCATTTTTAGATCACTATTAGAAACCTGGAAGCACTGGACGGTCGTTTCGTCCTGATGTGGCATTCATCAACAGTGCACAGTCATGACTCCTGCTACTCCCGTGATTTGAATCCGGGACCTTCGATCTTGCGAGCGAACACCTAACCTCTGGACTAGAACATATTTATTTACATATTTAGAATAAGTTTTATATGCCTAAAAGACACTACTACACTACTTTCTGACCGTAGATATTGATTTTTTAGATTTAAAAATGTTACATGAGACATTGTTACGCTCGTCTGTAGGTATGCTTAAAACTATTACGGGTTCACCTTAGTCGAATAATGAGAACAAAACAATGAACCAGAGTCCAGGTAGGCTACTGTGATCACTTGACCTAAAGGTATCAGCAAGAAGTCTTGATATAGTGTAGAAATTGTATTCTACAAACACCCAGTCAGCACATAAATGAATGCAAGCACTCAAATTGCGTTTATTTACACATCATAGAAACATCCTTGAGACAGTCACAAAAATAGCTCACTAAAATGAGACAATGACCAATCACAGTCAAGGATTTTCCTAATGGGAAATATGATCTCAAAGTGAACTGATCGGTCCATGAAATAAATCCAAAATAATGATATTTATCAATCGAGTTCTGGGGATCTAACATGCCCAACAGACTATCTTAATCGTAATCACTTTTGTGCACTTTTGAACCATTATCATGATGAATATTGATATGTCTTCAATTCGGAAATGAACTAAAGAATAATTGTAAGACAATCCACCTTTTTTTAGGTGTTAAAAAGCCCCGTTTAATCAAAATATAACAATTTGGTTATAGCCGTGACCTTGAAAATTTTTAGTGTCACAGATAATACAACTTCATCTGGTACAAATAAACAAATTTCCTACCAATTGAAAAATATGATTCTCTCTAGAATGAATAAAACTTGTCAATCGACTCATAGATCGATCAATAATCAAACATAGAGAATTACAATGTTAATCAAAATCAAATAACATGAAAGAAGAAACTAAAATATTAAACAAAATTATTTGTGTAACCTAAACTGAACTAGAAAATTAAACATAATACATGTAAGTAAAAAGAATAGTTAGAGGGAAGAGTAACACCTTAAAAATTATTATGTTTGTCACTAAGTATGCTTGAGGCTATTACGAGTTTACCTTAGTCGATAAATGCAAACGAGACAATGAACCAGCGTCCAGATAGGCTACCTTGAATCCCAGATGAAGTAAAAACTGCTTTGTAAGCGTAGAAGTATATTCTACAAACACCCAGCAATCACAGTACAATCAAGCATACAACTCTCGTTTATTTATACATCATACAAATGTCCTTGAGACAGTTAAGAAAATAGCACACTAAAATACACAGCAGCCAATCACAGCCATGGATTTTCCTGGTGGGAAATGAAATCTCAAGGTCAACTGATCAGCCCATGCTGGCAAACGTGAAAACCAAAATAAGGCATTTTTCAAGTGAGTTTTGGGGATCTAACATCCCCAACAAAATACTATTCACCCATATAGGTGGTATGTACTTAAGAATTTTCTAGTAAATTCAATACGAAACAGCCGTCCAGTGCTTCCAGGTTTCTAATGGTGGCCTAACTTTGATCAGTTCATGATTTCAAATGTATATATAACTTAACAATCTTCACAACACCGTAATGAAATTTATTTATATATACAAAAAAAGAAGTTTTTCCTTAATGCAGCAATTTAGAAATATCATATTATATTAGCTCTCCAGTATTGTTTACTATATGAATAGTTGTAGTGTGGTGCGCGCTACTCATAAGTAGTGTATGACGCGAGTGTAAACGTAATGTCTAGCAGCAGAAGCTGAGGGAAGATCGAGAAAGGAAGAAGAGCGGGAACACAATGGAATTTGTATGAAACGCATGAATATTGAAATGTCAGACAATGGATTGATGATGGATTGAAGATTTGCAAATTAACCGTTTACCATATGGTTTTCCTATTTTACTGAGTAACTCTGTAATTTTCGTTAAATACAATTCGGTTGCCCTCACCTGTGTTCTCCTTCACTACAGTAGTAGCAAAACATTTTTTTCAATAGAATAATTAAATTTCAGTTCTATTATAGAATTGATTTATAAATAATAGCCAGATTCATTATGTTTGTTTTATTACGTAAAGGATAAATCCTAATATTGATTTTTATTGCAAAGATTGAAACTTTTAACTTTGAAAATGTTAAAATGTAATCCGTTTTTTCCTTAACTTACTTGGTAAGCATTTTTTTTCTAGCGAGTTAGTTTTCTACGGGATAAGGTAGCCAGCCTGTTACGTATGCACATAAACATGTCCATTTGATATGTTTGAATTATTACGAGTTTACCCTAGTTGGGAAACGAGACTGAGGATCGAGGATCCAGCGACACAACAGGCTACTCTAATCCGATTGTTCGAAACCCTCATTCAGTAAGAGAAAAAGACTTGATATGAAGTAGAATCGGTATTCTACAAGCATCCAGAAAGCACGAGGTCTGAGCCCAGAAGAGAATCACGATCCCGAACTAGGGATCCGGGTCCGGGTCATACAGTTAAGCCGAATGGGAAACAACATTGAAGTCTGTGACATTGATAGTTAGGACGACCATAAAATTGATCAATAGGAATTAACCGATTGAATTAAATTTACAAGTAATTGTGTGGTGTGAGCTACTTATAAGTAGTATATGACGTGAGTGCCAACGTTATGTCTGGCAGCGGAAGATGGGGGAACATCAAGAAAGGAAGAGTTAGAAAACAATGGAATTTGTATGAAACGCATGAATAGTGACAATGGATTGATGTTTTGCAACAGGAACAGTCCAGTTCGATATGATGAACTGATATTTTGCAAATTAACGGTTACGATATGGTTTTCCGATTTTACTGAGTAACTCTGTGATTTTCGTTAAATACAATCCAGTTGCCCTACCCGTGTTCTCGTTCACTACATATCTATTAGGATACTGGAGGAATATCCCAACACAACCACACTCCCAACCCTCCTCCTTTATCCAGCAGGCTTAGGACCAGCAGTAGCCTTAAAGGGGCTCCAGGCAGATAACGATCATTAAATTGTTCAATATGTATTAATAATTATTTGTAATTAATTATATATTAACAAAATATCAAAAGATATATTCAATTTGATTTCATATTGTCAACAAAAAATTTATTAAAATTTAATCTTGAACGAAAAATCAAAATATAAACACTTATATGATGTTATATTTCATAGAAAGTTAACCATAGAGAAGATTTTAATTATTTTTTAAAAAAAAACGCAACAATAGTATTTTGTCTCTCTCTCTCTCGCTCGCTCGCTCGCTTTGCTATTTCTGATTTCAATGAACTGAGTTAATTATTTTTTATTTCTGTTATTGCATTTTTAGGGTCAACCAGGTGATACAGGCTTTCCAGGATCACAAGGAGAGACGGTAAGTGAATTATTATTTCTGAAGATATTTAGTAATCTGTAATCTTTATTCATTTATATTGCATATTTAAATCTTCTCATTAATGTTTGCGATTTTAATTGATCAGTGCGTTTCGACATGTACGTATCCTGTAGAGACTGCCTTGGAATCACCATCAAGGTAATTTCATCATTAGCAGACGTAGGTACTGGTTAGCAGTAGAATCCAAGACTTGCATTTTGTCCTATTTACGAAGCGTCAGCTGGATATACTTGCATCTTATAGTTGATTTGCATTCCCAGACTCGAACCCATCTCTCTTTGCTCATATGTATAGATATTTATGTCAAAAGATAACAAGAAAAACATCTACGTACAATGGTATGATTGTAGAACACAAATGCGGAAATGGAAACACTTATTACTGTAAACAATTATAACTATAACTGTTCTATTGTACTCCTTTTTGTTGAACTGTACTAAAGACCATAACTCGCGCACCAATCATGTGTCTACCACTACTCGTTTGCATTACGGGGTTGTGAAGATTGTTAAGTTACACATTTTTTAAAACCATGAATCGATCAATGTTAGACCACCATTAGAAAAGTGCAAGCACTGGACGGCCGTTTCGTCCTAGTACGGGACTCCTCAGCAGTGCGTATCCACGACTCCTGCACTCCGCAGGATTCGAACACAGGACCTTCGGTATTGTGCGCGAACGCCCTAACCGTTAGACCACTGAGCCGGTATTTAACGGTGTTAATGTCTAACTTGATCAAATTCACGGAGTTGCGCAACCTCGTTTATCCTCGGTGGTTGTTAGCTACTGTTTTATTCCGGTCTTGATCTCTTTTCGATATCACGAGACCAAAAATCAATACACCTTGTCATCCAATCATAGTCTTCCTTCTGATTTCTGGAGTTAACGGGATTTTACTTGGTAATCATCTCACGACAAGGCGTCCCAATCTTACTACATCATCATGCCACTTTCATGTGAATTCTTATGTAATAAATAGCCAATGGTGTTTCATAGAACTTCCTAGCTAACTAGAAACTTTAATAACTCAGTGTAAGAAAATGAAATGTTTTTAGTCATATAAAATCAAGCAGTACTACAAAAAATACACAACAAATGATATACTACGATCTATATTCATTAGTCACCTGTATTGTGGTGTGTGCTACTTATACGAACGATATAAGTAGTATAAAAAGAGACGTGAAAGAAGAAGTCTCACGGTCAGAAGAGGAAAACGGAAGGTAAATGGAGTAAAAGCAAGACGTAAATGGAGTACCAACAGGAAGGAAAGGAAGCAACAACAGGAATGGAAGAAGGATGGAGCGTTGAAAGTCACGACTCAAAGATGGTGTGCAAATAGAATATTCAATGTAATGTTTTCGTTTTTAATTGACTCAGAGCGTAAATCTGCGTAATGCAATCTTCCTCGCCTGCCTCAGTCTTCTCAGTATAAATGGTACGCTTGATTTATTACGTATTCACCTTACTCGGTAAACGGAACGAAGATCAATGATTCTGCTACACGACAGGCTAAACTATTCCGATTGTCCCGGGCTCCACTATCTAGAGGAAGAAGTTTTGATGAGATGTAGAGAGAATGTATTTCACAGGCACCTAGAAAGTACGAGGTCAACAATCACACAACTCAAGCTTATTTATACAATGATAAATACGCTCTTAGTGAGAGCCACAAAATAGCGTACTAAAATAATTCATCCACCAATCACATTCAAGGATTTTCCGAGTGGTAAATGTAAGCAGAAGGTCAATTAAGCTTGTTTGGCGCGAAAACATAAAAATTCAAAATTTCATAAATATATTACATAAATAGGACCTTTTCCATGTGAATTCTGAAGATCTAACATCCTCAACAATAAATACACATCCTTTCAGTTTGCTCGATAAAATATCATGACAATAAGTAAAAGAATTAATCAAATGAGAAGTAAATAAAATCGATACGTAAGTTTCTATTGAACATGCAACAACTTTATCTCGTGAATTACATTTGTTGCCTTGTACAGAAATCTGTTTGAATATTAAATAATAAGTATTCTGGTAAACATTTATTATTAATTGAAATCATCAGTCAGTCACTGTTATATCACCATTTGAAACCTGGAAACACTAGACGACCGTCAAGTCCTGTTATGGAACTCTTCAGCTATGGGCATTTACGACCACTGCTTACAGGAATCGAGCCCAGGATCTTTGCTTCTCGAGTGCGAACAGTTAACCTCTAGACCGAAGGAAAAGGCATCAAACGATGTTGATTTCAACTCTGATTAATCTAAAGTATTGCACAACCTCACCAACCGCCTTCGCTAAGTAACTGTCTACATCCGACAGAGTTGAACACTACTGGTCATTGATTCGTCCTCACGAAGCTAGTCACACAAGTGAACACACCTGTTAATTCACTAAGCAATTTTAATAAAGCGATATCGTCGAAAATAAAATTTTTCATTCAATGATACAATGGATTAATCTTACTGAACACAACATGTCCAAGAATATTCTTTTCACTAATTAATAGTTTTATGAATCATTCATGTGTTGAATGATCTTTTAATGAAAATGTTTCGATCATCAATTGTCAGCTTTCAAATATTTAATTTTGAGGAATTTTCAACTATGATTTCCAAACCATAGTATCCGTTGTCATCATGATGAATTTTATTTCACTAGTTAGTAGTTATTGACTAAGACCATACAACCGAATCCTCGCCTACCTGATAACGTGGTAGAGCTCACCCAGGAAATCATTGCTAATTGTAACATAAAATCAGACACTTTTGGTTAATCATCTTATCAGGTTGTATAAATGAAATGCATTCACTTAGCTAGCCCAAATGGTCAACGTGACGTAAATTGGCTTCATCTCAATCGATAGCATATTTTATCGTCCTACAGGTTTATACTCAATGGGTATGATCTATTGGAACACGCAGTGAAATCGGTGTTAGACGTTAATTAATAGGTATGGCTTATGCTATGATGAGACTACAAGTATCAACCTGTAAAGTACAAGTATTATTTACATTGATAACAAATCAAGAAAGTTCATACCAAGTCACCTACCTATATATTGAACTAATAAATGACCTCATGATTAGTTTTTTTTCTCTTAAAATATATCAAGTTCATTCAAACAAAAAAAAAAGTTACTTCTTGAATGAAATAACTTCAATTTACAGATTTTTAGGATGAGATAAAAAAATTACATGCTATCATGTCTTAACTTAATGGAATTCATGTGTTCAATATTACATCTTTTGTTTGACTTAGTGTAACACTTTGTTCAATATAATATTGGTTACCTTAAATTTGTATATACTTCGTTCAATGTAACATGAAGAATGTATTTTGTAGTAATCTTATCTATAATACGTATATGCATTACGGGGTTGTGAAGATTGTTAAGTTACAAATTTTTTGAAACCAGTGAAGTTCAACCTGTTCGGGTGTAGGCAGTGTCTACCGAAGACTGTATATGAGGTTGCGCAACTCCGTGAATTTGATCAAGTTAGACATTAACACCGTCAGATACCGGCTCAGTGATCTAACGGTTAGGGCGTTCGCGCACAATACCGACGGTCCTGGGTTCGAATCCTGCGGGGACAGAAGTCCCATACCGAGACGAAACGGCCGTCCAGTGCTCCAAGGTTTCCAATGGTGGTCTAACATTGATCGATTCATGGTTTCAAAAAATGTATAATATGTATGTTGTAATTTCCTCATTTCGGTTGTACACTTTATTCTTTAATGTTTATAAAATTGATGACCATGTTTCATCGAAACGTGAAATCAATTTTCAACTGCCATCAATTTTCGTCTTTTGCATGAAGTCATATGCATTTCAATGTTTTAATTATTCGATGTATCAGTTTATTGATTGTCATATCATTAAAAAAAATTACTGATCTGTTTTTTCTTTCAAACTATTTGAAAGTAAAACATATACTACTTATTACTTTTAAGTAATTGTTCTCCAAGTGTAAAATTCTTCCTCTTTTTTTAAAAATTTCAGGGTAAACGAGGTCTAGATGGTGAACCTGGTCGAATAGGTGATCTCGGTCCGAAAGGTGACCCAGGACCACCTGGGATAGATGGAGAACGTGGTCCACGAGGTCAAAAGGGTAAACCTGGGGTAAGTAGTATGATCGGTTTGGAGATCGATCAGTATGTATCATAATGGTAGTATTGATTATGTTACCCAAACGATTCTTTAATCATATCAAGGGAATTATTGTCCTGTACAGAACCAAGATTAAATTTGTAACACCACAAAATAACCTATACTAATCAAGAGTTTAGCAACGTATTCACTCTCTCTGTAGTGAAGGAGAACATAGGTGGGGCAGCCGAATTGTATTTAACGAAAATTACAGAGTTACTCAGTAAAATCGGAAAACCATATCGTAAATCGTTCATTTGCAAAATATCAGTCCATCATATCGAACTGGACTGTTCCTGTTGCAAACATCGATCCATTGTCATTATTCATGCGTTTCATACAAATTCCATTGTATTCTAACTCTTCCTTTCTTGATCTTTCCCCATCTTCCGCTGCCAGAAATTACGTTGACACTCACGTCATATACTACTTATAAGTAGCTCGCACCACATCTCGATTAACTATAAATCTAATATGTACTTTGTACTTCTTATTATTAATATTTCAGTCAAAATTTAAATGAATACGTGTAACGTTGTGGTTTTTTTTTAAGATTTCACCAAACAACAATTGTGACACGTAAAAATTACATAATCTATGCATTCATCTATTCAGAGATTAGAAAACAAAAGTGTATATATGTATAAAATAGAACAATTTTTCAACATATTCCATTAGAGATAATGAAATTCCTTATTGTTTTTTCTCTTTCTATTTTGTGTGTGTGTATGTGTGTATGTTTGTGTGTACGTGTAAAAACGAATTGCTTATTTTCTTTTTAACTGTTGTCAATGTGACAGGACAATGGCGAAAAGCCAACAATAACAAAATATTTATGTTTATCAATTCGTAGATTATGATAGAGAGCTTGCCAACTCTTCACTTAATACACATAGTTTATATTGTACAAATGAACTTAAGTTAGATAGATAACCATTAAAAATCAAGCATTTCTTTTTTGTCTTAATATGAGATTTATGTGTAATAAATATTATCTGTATGCTTATATTGCTTACAAGTGATTATTAGTTTTCAAAATTCTTAAAAGAAATTGTAACTATAATTGGAGTTCAATTATTTTGTGTATGTGTGTGTGTGTGTGTGTGTGTGTAGTTATTGATTATTGGCATCGGAATAGAGTTGCACAATATCGTAAGTAAATTGATAGGAATTGGAAATATAGATTATTTAGAAGCTAAGAATGAAGTTTACACATTTGAAATCAGCAATCAATCATTGTTAGACCACCATTAGAAACCCACAAGCACTGAGAGACCCCGGTTCTTCCTGGTATGGGACTCATCAGCAGTGCGCATCCACGACTCCTGCTCCTCGCAAGGTTCGAACCCGAGACTTTCGGCATTGTAGGCGAACGCCTTGCCATCGGACCACTGGGCCGGAATCCAACGGTGTTAATGTCTAACTCTGATTGATCGATGGATTTTGCGCGACCTCACCCATTTGTCTTTGGTAGTTACTGCCTGCACCCAACAGGGTTGAACTCCATTAGTCACGTCTTCTCAACTAGAACTCCGAGAATTTCCTCACGAAGCTAGTCACTAGTGAGCACTGTTATGATATTTTGGGGCAGAGTTTTTGGAGGTTTGCGTTTTTACACATTTGAAATCATCAATCAATCATTGTTGATGAATCCCATACCAGGACGAAACGGCCGTCCAGTGCTTCCAGGTTTCTAATGGTGGTCTAACAATGATTGATTGATGATTTCAAATGTGTAAAAACGTAAACCTCCAAAAACTGTGCCCCAAAATAAGAATGAACTACCTGAAATGAAGACTGTAGATCCTATTTCTCGTAGAGTCACAAGTATCTACTACTTAGAAATCCTATTCCAGGACTAACTGACTGTTCAGTACTTGTCTTACTAAGTTTATTCATTTATATCGGTTATGAAGTTCAACAATCTCCTCAAAAAATATCCTGTACTAACTATTTTGAATGTACATTTGTGTAGACTTTTCAAATTCAAGAAACTTAACATTATTGATGGACTCCAACAAGACAACCAGAAAACATTCAATACCTGCTCTCTAACCTCCTGTGTAACTCCATCCTAAGAGTGATTATGTACTACCTAATCAATAATGCCGGGGTGAATACTTTAGATCCTACTGAAAATTTGTAGTCGGTAGAAGTTTCACCCTGCTGAATATAACAACGGTATTATACCGATAATGATGAATGATGGTATGGTAATATTGTATACTGACTAAAATTACAAATATGAACGAATTGACCTCAACTTAATGAACATAATGAATACATCATACGATTTGAATTTCATGTGTGTGTGTTATCTTAACTTGTGGTGTGATATGTACACGTTGCCAAACAGTTTCATATTGATAAATAATGTAAATTTTCATCAAAGCTTATTTTGATTGAATAGAATGTCTTGCATAAATAACATCAAACCTTATTCAGTAGTAAATCACATCACTATAGAATTTTTAAAAAGAACTGATGGAAATTACAACTAGTATTTATCTAATTATTATTTTTTTTTTTTTCAAGGGTTATTTACATTGTGCAGGACCAAAGGGCATAAAAGGTTTACCAGGTTTTCCTGGATTAAAAGGACTTCCTGGTGAAATTGGTCGAGAAGGACCTTCTGGTACAGATGGTGAGAAAGGTAATACTGGTATAAAAGGAGATCGTGGTTTATCTGGTCGAGGATGTACTGATGGTCAACCTGGTCTTCCTGGTCCGAAAGGAAATATGGGTAAGTAAAAAAAGTTGGCCCCCCTTATTGAGTATAAATCATTTGTTATCTATCCTTCGGTGATATGATTTATGCATTCTAATTTCATTGTCAGAACCAAGCTTTTCTTAAGTGAAATTGACAAATCGTTAAACTTGCATTACGGGGTTGTGAAGATTGTTAAGTTAGACATTTTTGAAAACATGAATCGATCAATGTTAGACTACCATTAGAAATCTGGAAGCACTGGACGGCCGTTTCGTCCTGGTATGGGACTCATCAGTGGCAGTGCGCATGCACGACTCCTGCACCTCGCAGGATTCCAACCCAGGACCTTTGGTATTGTAGGCGAACGCCTAACCATCGGACTACTGAGCCGGTATCTAACGGTGTTAATGTCTAACTTGATCAAATTCACAGAGTTGCACAACCTCATACACAGTCTTCGGTGAGCACTGCTTCACACCCGAACAGGTTGAACTTCAATTGTCACCTCTTCCTACTAGAACTCGGAGAAGATTCCTCACGAAGCTAGTCACTAGTGAGCACAGGTAATTTGCATCGTTAAACTGTTAGTTTGTCTGAATTCAAATATCCATTCAATAACACTCGTTTCTTAATAAAAATGAAACAACAGAAATTTTTGATACCCTATAAATTTCTACTATTAATGAACTTGAAAAAAATCAGTTGACCAGTTTATTGTTTTTGTACCTACCAAGTAGTAAGAAAATTATGAAAACTCTTTATAGACTTCTTCTTTAATTAAAAATTACTTTCTTATAACTAGTTGCTCCAAAAAAAAAATAATTTCGATCACTGATCTCAACTTAATGAGGTTGTGTTGATAATGTGTCTCAGAATAAGTCTTAATTTAACTGGTAATAATGAATGAAATTAGCAAATTTGCTTTAATCCAGAGAAAATAATCACATTTGCTTCATTCTTCTTTCAAGGAAGTCCCGGTATCCGTGGTCCATCAGGAACTACCGGTCTACCAGGAAGTGTTGGATTGCGTGGACAACCTGGTGATGTACCTGATATAGCTTTACCAGGACCAAGTGGAAATCCTGGAGCTCCCGGTTCATTTGGCATGAAAGGATTACCTGGTGATTTTGGAGATCCTGGAGAAAAAGGTTTCCCAGGGAGTGGAGAACGTGGTCCAGCTGGACCTCGTGGACCTCCTGGAGATCCTGGTCTAGTTGGTAGACCTGGAAGAGAAGGACGTCCTGGTATAAGAGGTCCAAAAGGTAAGTCATGAATAATATTTTAACAATTATAAATCTCTGTCTGAAACAGTCAGATATAATTATTTTTTCGATTTATACTAAGTACAGTACAGATAAGATTTGATATCTGAATTTTTTTGCTTCAGACTCCTAAATGATATTTGATGAATGACGTGTATAACATAATAAACATGAACATAATTTAAAACTGTGTACTATTTGATTAAAATAAGATTTGCAAGGAGTTACACCCTTTCATGTTTAAAAAGAATTTTGGAATATTGGTAATATTTGCAGGATTTCATGACATTTAGAATATTGAATTAGTGAATACTCTACTTTTCAACAATTGTTCATTTTATGTTCTGTTGTTTTTTTATAATAATCAAAGGTGTTAGTGTGGCGACATGTTTATTCTGTGAAGATGGTGAACTGGGACGCCCAGGAGATGTTGGTGAAATAGGTGATAGTGGTTTACCTGGTCGTCCAGGTGCAAATGGTCCTGATGGTGAACTTGGAGAGATTGGTGATCCAGGTCGTCCTGGTTTACCTGGTCCACCAGGAAGAAAGGTCTGTTTAGTACTCCGTATATAAATGTATATATATATATATATATATATATATATATATATATATATATATACTATGCTTGCAGTATTGACTACTGAATGCTTAACTGATTTTTACTTGACACTGAAAACTCTGAATTTGACAATGTTTAGTGAAGAAACAATTTTACTGACTATGAAAATTCATCAAAATGATGTATGAACATACCACCACTGTAGTGGTATTTCGTTTTCTGAGCTGAATGTTGTGGTTCTAGAGCTTTCATTGTTCTTCTACTGAACAACATCATCAGCACGAACTTGAGATAGAAATGAAGTATTCGAATTTCTTCACGTTTGACCTGTAGCATGTTGCTATTTGCCTTAAGCTTGTCGTTGTTTGCACCTTTGCTTATGGACAACAGTAACCAATCAAGATTGAGGTTAACAGGACAAGCTACTGGTAAAACGTGAAGAAATCCGTATAATTCACTTCTGCTATTTGAAGTTTGTGCTGATGACAATCAAAACTCCAGCTCAGAGAATGAAACACCACCATCTGAACTACAAATTTTCTCCACCATCTCATGAACATACCACACCACTTTTGATCTGATTCACTTACAGTCATATTATTATGGATGAAACTGAGTAAGATTGAACATCAATTAACTACTAACTTACTAATGTGAACGTAATTACATTATCATAAAACTAAGCCTATATAACCAAATAGCTATAACTAATTTACTAAGTCAAGTATTTACTTTTTCAAGATGTGATTACATGTCACAGTTTTATATATCATTCACACAGCAGTCAATGTATACATAAATAAGCACTTTTTCCAGGTTTGGACCATAATCCACTGTCAATACGATATAATTATCCTTCATAAATTACATTCCTGTTACAGTACACTTGTGGTGCGCGCTACTTATAAGTAGTATATGACGCGAGTGTAAACGTAATAATGTCTGGCAGCAGAAGATGGGGGAAGATCAAGAGAGGAAGAAGAGTGGGAACACAATGGAATTTGTATGAAACGCATGAATGATGAGTGAAATGTCAGACAATGGATTGATGATAGATTGAAGATTTGCAAATTAACGGTTTACGATATGGTTTTCCGATTTTACTGAATAACTCTGTAATTTTCGATAATAACTAAATGAATGAAATTGACTTGTTGTTTGTGAAAGTGTTCACGTACTAAACCTCCATACCCTTCTGCTTGTCATTCAATCTTGTTATTATTACAAAGACATTCTATGATTCATCTAATTTTTGACTTTTTTATTTTTATAGGGTATGGCAGGATTTCCAGGTCAAATTGGTTTTAAAGGAGATCCTGGTGAAGTTGGAATACTAAGAATTACCAATCAACAAGTAGTACCAGGTGATCCAGGTAACAGCGGTTTCCCTGGAGCTAAAGGAGAACCGGGTGACTTAGGTGATCCAGGTTCATTTGGTGCTCGTGGCGAGTTTGGATCCAAAGGCCGTATGGTAATTTCAAAGAATACAATACATGAATATTTTTGCTCACACAGATTTTACATGTCTTATCATGCATTTTGCCCTCACATAAGATCTTATCTGTGCATGATATTGATCGACAGGATTGAAATAAATTTCAAGGCGAAATTCATCATAAATACTCTGAAACACAGATATATCCACCTAAACAAAGAGGTGCTATGTTAAAAGTACGCATTTGTACTACTGTTCTTAACTGCAAGGATAATCAATGAAACGTTATATGATTTACATTGTTATGCCGTAAAGCATTAGGAAATTTAACTATTATATTTAGACATTTTTGAAACCATGAATCGATCAACGTTAGACCACCATTAGAAATCTGGAAGCACTGGACGGCCATTTCGTCCTGGTATGGGACTCCTCAGTGGCAGTGCGCATCCACGACTCCTGCACCCTGCAGGATTCGAACACGGGACCTTCGGTATTGTGCGTGAACGCCCTAACCGTTAGACCACAACGGTGTTAATTTAGACTGTTAACTTTAAATTATAACATTCAATAAAGTATTAAATATGATATGTTTTATGATATTCAGGGTCTTCCAGGCACAGCTGGTATACCAGGACCTGAAGGTGATGTTGGAGACAGAGGCTTTCCAGGTGATCCAGGATTAGATGGTAGAGCATTTGTCGGTGAAACTGGAGATCCAGGAGAATCTGGATATCCTGGACTACCTGGTTCTAAAGGTATACGAGGAGCTAAAGGTTATTGCGAAGGAATTCAACCACAGTTAACTAAAGGTAAATGAATGTTTAGCGTATATTTTTTTTAATAAATGCTTTTCCACACGTTTTCACTGCACAACTATGAATGTCATGTTACTTCTTAAACTAATCAACAAATCCATACATTTCATAGAATGGGAAAATATTCAAATTCTACTCTCACTTGTTTTTACTATATTACTAAAAATTATGATTTATTCTCTAGGCGTCTCAGGTGATCGCGGTTTCCCCGGTGATCCTGGCCCCCATGGTGAACAAGGCTCACAAGGGAGAAGTGGAATAAAAGGTAACTATCATTGTAGTTTTGGTAGGCAGACTTCTTATTTATACTTTAGCCTTCAGTTACGAAAAAATATTTACTTGTCACTAAAATTTTGAAAACATTCTTGTCATATTTATTTATACTGGCTTTTTTTACTCATAATTTATATTTCATGTATATTTACGCTAGGTACTACTGGACTGCCTGGAGCTCGGGGGATTCCTGGAGATGATGGTCTTCCAGGAGTGTCTGGTTTTAAGGGTGAACGAGGTTTCCCTGGACGAATGGGATCACCTGGTTTTCCAGGTTCAGTCGGTAATAGTGGTGTAGATGGTACGCGGGGTGAACCCGGATTCCAAGGACCTCCAGGTCCCAAAGGTCAGAGAGGTAAGATATGCAGGAATTACTAATACTGTATTTTCATCAATGTTACTTACTTGACGTCCTCATTGTAATCGTTGCTAGGTGCATAGCATTAGATGACGTTTATTGTAATGCCCTCTTTCTTTGTGTTTGAAGGATGCTTTGATGATCCTGGGTGCATGAGACTCCCATGCCATAAGTGCCTTTTGTGCTTGTTCGAGCAGCATCAGTGAGACTCCTTATTTGTGTGAGACATTTTCTTCTTCATGGCCGGAGTATAACAGCAGCTCTCCTGAAGCTAGTCTCAGTTGTTCAACTTGCGTCCACTGTGTTTCACTAGTTCCAAGCACCTCCAGGTTGTATCTTTTCATTTCTGTAGCAATTCGGAATAGTTTTCCGGTCTCCCACAATGTTCGAAAATTCCATGTATCTAAACGAATGGCTGCTCTGGTTTTCAGAAAGATCACTGGCCTCGTGACGTCCGAAGAAACTCGGCTTTCACCACGAGACATCACACCTCTTCTGAAAGAAGACATGACTCTCAGGGTAGAGTCAAAATTGTTTGAATTATGTTTTCTGGTTAGCGTTTTTCCAGAAAGTTAGTTTTCTATTGGATGGGGTAGCCAACCCCATGCCCAACCGGGTTTGTAACCGGCTGTAGCCCCAGAAAGGCTCCAGACGGAGTTGTTTTCATCATTGTGATGAATTGTACTTTGTGAAGTCTAACATATCTGATTCACAGTCCCACAAGAACATAGTATTAATTACTGAAAAAATTCTTTTCACTATAGAACACAATAGAAGATCATGTAACTATTCTGTTTTACTTTTGATCTTATAAACTTCGAAATAACCATAGAAATCAAGCACCATCATTCAAACAAAAAATTGAGATCACTAATAAATTAACTAGATAAACTTATTCATCGATGAATGTGATAAA